CTCCTCCTCCTCCTCCTCCTCCTCCTCCTCCTCCTCTTCTTCTTCTTCTGTTTTTTGGTTTTTCGAGACAGAGTTTCTTCCTCTCTTCTGCCTTTCCCTTTTTTTTCCTCCTTTTTTCCTTTTCTTTCTCTGAAAAATGCATTGATTGGGTGTCAAAGGGGACAGGGAAAGAGGTGTGGCTTCATTGTCACCCACAGCAGCTGAGGAGTGTTCATCTTTTAGACACCTGACTTTGGCTCAGCTGGGTTTTGCAGGTTTGACATGGAAAAGAGTTTCAGGACTAGCTGGTGTGAAACACAGTCAGAGGTTTACTGAAGGTGCCCTAAAGTAAACTTTAAAGGCTGGAGAGATGGCTCAGCAGTAAAGAGGGGTCCCAGGTTCAGTTCCCAGCACCCACATTTCATCACCATCTGGGACTCCAGTCCCAGGGCATCTGGCCTTCAGCACCAGGCATGTGTAAATGTGGTGCACAGACATACATTCAGGCAAATACTCCAATACACATAAAATAAAAATAAAAATAATTTCAATAAAATAAAATAGGCTTTTAGTTGGGCATGATGGCACTTTCTTTAATCCCAGCACTTGGGAGACAAAGGCAAGCAGAACTCTGTGACTCTATTTAGCAAGTTCCAGGCCAGCCAGGCCTACACACTAAGACCTTCTCTCAAGAAAACAAATTTTAAGTATGAAAGTTAAGAGAATGGTACTCAGAAAAACAAAAGAAAGCAAAAACACATCCCCATAGCAGTGGTAATAGGCTTCTCAGAGAAAATGTACAGTGTATAAAAAGATTTTGTAGATTTTAAATACAGGGATTAAGAGAAAAAGATAAAGTATACCCATGTGGGTATGAGCTTCTCAAGGAGAATCAAATCTTGTCATAGGATTTTCATGCATTTTTAACTATTGTCTTCAAATTATTGTTAGGAAACCTGAATGAGATCACAGGGTGCTGCCTATCAGGTTACAATTGATAAAATCACAAGGGTACAGGAAGGTAAGCTATCTTTAATTGTAATAGTTTTGCCTGAGATCACCAGAAAATGAGAAAAAAAGAGGCCTTGCCCAAAATCATATACATTCAAGCCATAAGCCTGCTTCATTGCTATTTTAATGTAAAATATCTGTATAAAAAAGGAATATTTCACTAGGTGTTGCTGGCGTGCACCTTCAATCCCAGCACTTGGGAGGTAGAGGCAGGTGGATCTCTGTGAGTTGGAGGCCAGCCTAGTCTATAGAGCGAGTGCCAGGAGAGGCTCCAAAGCTACACAGAGAAACCCTGTCTTGGAAACCCAAAATAACAAATAAACAAAGGACTATTTCTATGTAGCAGCCTTTACAGAAAATGTGAAGGGCACACCTACACACCTATAGTCCCTGCTTGCCTTTCTTCTTGTAGTTCACCTAGCAAGAAGCATCATCCACACCCTGGAATGAAGGGGTCTTTTCTCTATTTATCTCCCCATAATTTCCTGTCTTTCTATCCTGCCTCAGTGAGTTCTGTGGTAGAAAAGGGAAAAGGAGACACTGGCTGCTTCCTCTTGCTCACAGAGCACACCTATAGCCCCTGCTCATCTTCCTTTACCCTGGCCTCCCAATGTCCCATCTCTTGCTCTGCTTCTGCTTTATCGACTCCTTTTGCTCCCTTGATTTTGTTTTTCTTGCACTTTTTTCCCCTGACAGATTCTGGGAGTTTGTGTTGGTTCTTAAGCTGTTGTTAGGGGTCTGAAGACAGGTTTTATTTGTTCCTTGTCAACCGTCCTCCTTGGCTTCCTTGCCTTATGCTTTCTCAGCATGTTGACATGACCATAGTGTTTTTATTCTTTGTAAAGATTTATTATTATTATATCATTATTATTATTATTTGTGGTGGGGGTTGGAGACAAGGTTTCTCTATGTAGCCCTGGGTGTCCCAGCTAGCTTTGTAGACCAGGCTGGCCTCAAACTTACTCACCTACCTGTGCCACCTGAGTGATGGGATCAAAAGCTTTTGCCACCACATCTGGCTTTACTTTTAGTGTGTGTTCATCTGTATATGGGGATTCACATGTGTTCAGGGCCTGCTGAGGCCAGAGATGTTGGAACTTGGAGCTGGAGTTACAGGCAGTTGTTAGCTGCCCAATGTGGGTACTAGAAACTGAACTTAGGTCCTGTACAAGAGCAATGTGCACTCTTAACTGTTGAACCATCTCTTCATCGACAGATTTTTATTCCTTGGCTTGTTTAGATGATTGATTATATTCATTGGGTTTTTTTTTAATGTTTTATCAGTCTTACATGTTTATAATAAGACCAAATTGGTTGTTGGGTATAATTGTCTTTATGGCCTATTTTTTTATCTTAAAAAGATGAAAAAATTTGGAGAACTTGATGGTTTGTATTTTTTGTATTGGTTCTCTGCTTTTATTTATTTATCTATGGATTTTGGAAATGGTTTCTCTATTTAACAGCCTTGGCTGTCCTGGAATTTACTTTGTAGTGCAGGCTGGCCTTGAACTCACAAAGATCCTCCTGCCTCTGCCTCCCCAGTGCTGGATAATTCCAAGGTATATTCCACCATGACCAGCTTTACAACTTTTGGGAGGGGACAGTGATTTTTATATAATAGCAATATGGATCTCTAAATAACATGAGTTAGTGTTAGTGCTACTTAAATATTGTAGTTGCTTGATGTCATATTTTCATTCATTAAATGTTAAGTAGGATAAGCCATTGAGAACATGTGAGGCTTATCCTGCCTGCTTTGGACAGGTATTTATTACTGCAGTGCCCTTTTCATAAGGTCCACTTATACCTTATGTGAGCTTTTGTAGTGTTTCCTCCCCAAAATTGGTTTCTTTCTTTTACGTTACTAGACTGGGGAGGAAATGGTTCTTAACACTGCTATCTGGTTCTTTTGATGTCTATGGTATTATTAGGGATGTAATCTTCATTCTTGTTGTTAGTGATTTGTATGATGTCAGCATTAGTAGTAATAGTAGTAGTAGTAGTAGTAGTAGTAGTAGTAGTTGTAGTAGTACTTGAGACAGTGTTTTACCAGGTAGCCTAAGCTAGCCTCACATCCACAGCAATCCCCCTTCCTTAATTTACAAAATTGCTAAGATTATGTGTGAACCATTGTGCCCAGACTGTGTTGTCCTCTACTTAGCTTATCTAAGTAAGATTTCTCTATTGTGAATAATTCCAAAGAACCTTTAGTTTTGTTATTTTCCTATATTGATTTGGAAATTATGACTTCATCAATATAGTCAATTCTTTTTTTCAATATATTCAATTCTTAACTTTCCTCTCCTTTATTAAAGATCATCTTGCTCCTGTTTCTCTGATTTTTGGGAGTTAATGTTAAAAGATTGAGTTGTGATTTCACTGCTTTGTTTGTTTGTTTGTTTGAGATAAGGTCTCACTATGTAACTCTGTCTTTCCTGGAAACCACTTTGCAGACCAGCCTGGCCTCAAACTCTGATTCTGCTTCCCAAGCACTCGGATGAAAGGAGTGCAACACTACGCCCTGTTTTGTATTCACTGGTTTTAATTCATGTATCTTTTTCTGCACCCTAGAAATGGTGTTCAGATAATACCTTAGGAATCTGTAATAGTAATGTATGGATGTGGGTGTGTGTCTGGGTGTCTGTGTATGGGTGTGTTTTGTGTTGATTTGGTTTGCTTCCCCCTACCAACTCAGGATTCGAATTACATCCTTCATGTATTCCTGGCCTTTAGAATTTCTGCTAAGGAATCTGCTGTGATGATATCTTGCTTGTGCAAATCAAGCCTGTCAGAGAATGGAACTTGCTACTAGCTAACCATAAAGGTCTGGAGGTCTGTACAGACAGACAGAAAGTGAGCTAGCTGGGCGGAAACAGGATATAAGCAGGGAGAAACAGGTAATCCATCTCTTGTCGGCTGAGGAGGTAAGGTGTGGGGGTGGCTTGCTCCTCCTCTCTCAGCGTTTCCCTCTATATCTGACTCTGGGTTTTTATTATATAGACCATTTAAGAACTCCATTTACAGTCTGCTGCTATTGTGATAGGTTTGTCTTTAAATGTGCTTATCACTCTTCTCTCCTGCAGATTTTAGTATTCTTACTTTGAACTGTAATGTGTTGTTAAGAGATTCTTTTCTGTTCATGTATGTTTGCGTTTCTAAATACATCTAGTACCTGGAGGTATATGTTATTTCCAAGATCTAGGAAATCTAGCGATTTTCTGCTATGTTTCATGAATAGGTTTCAATCTTTTGTGGTTTTTCATGTGTATGGGTGTTGTAGGTAAAGTGTGTGTGTTTGCAACATGTGTGTCTGTGTAACACTGTGATGTTAACATTATATTTAAGGTTTTAATTACTATGTATATGTCTGGTACCCTCAGAAGCTAGATGAGGGTGCCGGATCCCCTGGAACTAGAGTTACAGATAGTTGTCAGCTGGGAATCCAATGTGGTTCTATATGAAAGCAGAGGTAACTTATTTTAAAAGATACTGTTGGGTTAGAGAGCTAGCTCAGTAATGAAGAGCACATACTACTTTTGAAGAAGACTTACTTGGTTACCATATCCATGTTAGGTTACCTCTAAAACAGCCTGAAACTTCAGTTCCAGGAGGGTCCTATCTCTCTGGCCTCCTCAGGCACCTGCGCACGAGCACGCACACACACACACACACACACACACACACACACACACACACACACTTAAAAAATAAAGGTTTGGGGTTTTTTTTTTGTTTGTTTTTGTGTTTTAAGTAGGAAGGACAGAAGAGAGGGCAGTTTTTTAAAATGACCTAGAGTTCATGGAACCACTTGTCTCTAGATTTTTAAAAATCAGATTCCACAGCTATGGAAGGGTAAGTGTTGATGTAGCTGCAGCTTGTTCAGTTCCTCAGATTTCTTCAGAGTGGTTAAAGCAGAATGCAGCCTGCCGTCCTCTTCTGCTAAGCAGGATAAGAAAACACTGGCCACAGCAGAAGTATTGTGTATTTCTACTGGGTATGAGATTGCATACTGAGCTTGTGCAATATCAGAACTTTTTTACTAAGCAAATCTTGGCAGAATGTGGACTGCACTAAATACATGTGTATTTTCTCTGGGCATTTTTTTTTTTTTTTGGACTATTGAGAAGACTCCAAACCTCGCTGAGTTGCTAGAACACTACAGTGAGCAGTTGAAGTACCTAATTCTGTCCTGGACTATTTGTATTCTATTCACCCCAATCTTGGAAAGTCTCTAGATCTGTTCCCTATCTCTTGGAAAAACAGCAAACATCTGGTATTGCTTCATGTGACAGAGAGCAAGGTCACTGTATTTTCAATATCCCTCGTCACATCCGATGCTTCATGCAGAGTTAACCTCTCAGGCTGTTTGTGTCAGAGATGCTACCCAAAACTGTTGCATGTGGTACCACCCAGTCAGTGTAGACGGACATCCATCAGTGCTCTTGGGATGGGATTACAATGGATTGGCTGATCTCTAGAGTAAAGACTAATGATAAGTGTCTTCTCAGGATGGATGCTGGCTGTAGTATTCTGAAGATTTGCTTAGCAATTGATTCAGTGGGCTCTGTTTGGCTGAAGCTACCTTGTTAAGCTGATTCCAAGTCTCAGATTTATTAAAACTGTTCAACCAAGGGCTACATCCTTCTTTTGTTGTGAGTCTTTGTCTGTGTGTGACCTTTCTTTCACCCACCAGAAAGGGGATGCCCTAATACAGTGGTTCTCAACTTTCCTAAGGCTGCAGCTCTTTAATTCAGCTCCTCATGTCTTGGTGACTTCCAACCATAACACTATTTTGTTGCTACTTTGCTACTGTTGTGACTTGTAATTTCAATATCTGATATGCAGGATATCTGATATGGGACCCCCCAATTGAGAGCCACTGCCATTGAGGGTCCTGGGACCATTCCCTGGCCTTAAGGAGCCCCAGCCCCATCTTATTCTGACAAAGCCCATTGGCTGATCTGGAAGTATCAGTTGTGGTCAGTGCTGGGGATGCTTAGATGTCAGGACTGTTGTGAGAGTTCATGCATACCAAGAAAAATAGGGTCCAGCAGCATACATAATTGGTATTCCTGTTCCTATCCTGTTACCTCTTTAACAGGGTTCTAGTCCAGTATAGGAATTGCTGGGTAGGAGGGAGAGAGTATGAATGGGGCATAAGTGTATCATGACCTGTGAAGGACACAGCACCCTGTGAACTTCTTACAGAGTGCATCTCCATTACAATGCTGTGAATCTTACTTTTCCTCCTCATGTGGCACATTTTAGGACTGTCTAACTTTTGATGATGTGGCTGTGAACTTTACCTTGGAGGAGTGGGATTTGTTGGATCCTTCCCAGAAGCAACTCTACACAGATGTGATGCAGGAAACCTTCAAAAACCTTGTTGCTATAGGTAAGAATAAGTTTATTTCCTCACTTAAAAATGAGGGAACATATCTGTCTTACTTACCAGTGCTGCTCAGTGATTTAGAATATGAAGGGTAAATGTGGTAAATATGTCAGTTATATCATGAATTTATATAAGTTAATATTATAAATAGACCTCATAATGATTTTTCTGGCTCTGCATTTTAGGACAAACTGAGGAGGGCCAGAGGATTGAAGATGATGGACACTTTAGGAGAAACCTAAGGTAATCTGCCCCTTCCAAATAAGAAGAATGTTGTTCAAGGACATGAGAATCAAAGGTGGAGGGATGGCTCAGTAGTTAATGGCACTGGTTGTTCTTTTAGAGGATTAGGGTTAGATTGCCAGCACCCACTCACATAGTGGTTCATAACCATCTGTAACTCCAGTCCTAGGAGGCTGAATGCCCTCTTCAGGCCACCTCCGACACTACATGTGGGTGTTACACAGACATACATGTAAAACACCTGTACACATAAAACAAAATAAAGGGGGAATTTTTTTTAAAAGATTTATTTATTTATTATGTACACAGCATTCTGCCTGCATGTATGTCTGCAGGCCAGAAGAGGGCACCAGATTTTACTACAGATGGTTGTGAGCCACCATGTGGTTGCTGGGAATTGAACTTAGGACCTATGGTAGAGCAGGCAGCACTCTTAACCACTGAGCCATCTCTCCAGCCCCAGGGGGGAATTTTTTTTAACAATATAGAAATGACTAGAAGACTGGGTGTTGGTGGCCCACGCCTTTAATCCTAGCACTTGGGAGGCAGAGGCAGGGGGATCTCTGTGAGTTCGAGACCAGCCTGGTCTACAGGAGCGAGTGCCAGTACAGGCTCCTAAGCTACACAAAGAAATCCTGCCTTGAAGAAAAAAAGAAATTTTAAAATAGGTAAACCAAACAAATATGCCCAACTTCAAAACAATTTAATCTCAAATAATTTTATAAAAATTTATACAGGATTCGTGACATATAGTACACCAACAAGATGATACAGTTGACTTTCTGATAATCCAGTATACACAAAATTTGTTTCATCTACAAAATTATTTTTAAAATGATGCGGACAGATAGATGGGTCAGGTGATGATTAATACTTGCTGTGTGAGCATTAATACTTGAGTTCAATGATTCCCCAGCACCCACATTTTTTAAAAAAGTAGAGACTGGACTATTCCTAGGGCTTTCTGGCTATTATCCTAGCTAAGGGGATGAGAAAGGTAACATGAGTTCCAGATTCAATAAGAGATCCCTGTCTAAGGGTGTAAGATTGAAAGTGATAGGAGAAGATACCCACACATACATACATTTACCACGTAACACAATAAGGACCAATGAAATGGCTCAGTAGGTAAAGTGCTTGCCACCAAGCCTAATGACCTGCATTCCATCCCCTGAACACATATGATGAATCAAGAGAACCAACTCTGGCAGGCTATCCTCCAATATCTGTATTGAGGTAGTAGCACATGCATACTCCCACACTACTCACTCACCCAAGACCACACGCACACTCTGGATGGATGGATGGATGGATGGATGGATGATTGGATGGATGGATGGGTGGGTGGTGGATGGATGGATGGATGGATGGGTGGATGGATGTGGGGGCTGAGGATTCAGGTCACCAGTGCTGTTCTTGAACAGAACCTGAGTTTGGTTCCCAGCATTCATGTTGGGCAGCTCACATGCATCTGTACCCCATCCAATTCCAGACATCTGAGCTCTTGCCTCTGCAGGTACCACACTCATGTGCACATATCTACACAGACACCACACAATTAAAAATAAAAAAAATCTTTAAAGTTTGTTTTAAATACAAAGAAATTTTTAAGAGTTTCAATAAGTAATAAAAGTGAAAAATGTCTGTTATTATCACCAGACTTTGAGTGTGCAGTGTATTCAAAAAGACAAAAATGAAGAAAGGGCCAATGAGATGATTTAGTGGGCAAAGGGTCTTTGCTGCCTAAGGCGGGCAACCTGAATTCAACCACCAGAGCCCAATAAAAGTAGAAGGAGAATACTGACACCATAAAGTTTTCCTCTGAACTTCACACAGCCCTCTCTCTGCTTATCCAGTAATAATTTAAAAGTTTGAAGGAATTTCTTCTTTCCAGTGGTCACTGATTCTCATCTTCAAAATAGTGTGTGTATCTACAAATAATTTGAATTCCAAAAGTGTTTTTCTGGAAGCATTCTGTTTAAAGAGAGCATTTGTGTTATGGAGTGGCACCTTCAGTACTGACTAATTATAATTCTAACAGAAGAAGGTAATGAGTTCAAGGCCAGCTTGACCAGCAGATCAAGAAGTAAGACTCTCCATCGCAAATGAATAATGAAAGATAGTAGGTAAATAAACAATCATAATGACACGGGCATTCAGTGTTTGCAGAATAGTTTACTTGGTAAACATGTTAACATCTATAGACATACCAGTATCTTCACATATGGATGTCCACTAGAAATCCTGTAAAGCATTTAGCCCATTCATATTAAAGAATTCTAATGGTGTAATATGAGGCAATTCTCCTGACAGGTAACTTATAAACAAAATTTGAGTAATGTGTCTTCTACTTTTTACAGAAATGGAATTGTAGAATTATTGTTTGAACCCAGTGAAGGTAGACAATGTGAAGAAATCTTCAGCCAGTTTCCAGATACTGTTATGAACAAGAAAATCCATCACGGACTAAAACTGTGTGAAAGCAAATTATGTGCCGATGTACTTGTTGGTCTCCCACCCCTAAATATGCATAAACGTGTTCCAACAGGACATAAACCATATGAATATGAGATATATGGAGATGGTCTCTATAAATTTAAAGAATGCAGGAAAGCCTTCATGTATCCTGAATGCTTTCTGAAGCATGAAAATAATCACAGAGTAGAGAAACCATATAAGTGTCAGCAATGTGGAAAAGCCTTTTCTTCTTCCAGTAAGGTTCGAAGACATGAAAGAACTCATACTGGTGAAAAACCCTACATATGTAACCATTGTGGGAAAGCCTTCCCTAGTCGTGGTTCCCTTCGACGCCATGACAGGATTCACAGTGGAGAGAAACCTTTTGTTTGTAAGTATTGTGGGAAAGCCTTCACTGGTCAAAGTTCCCTTCCACGACATGAAAGAATTCACAGTGGAGAAAAACCCTATGTCTGCAAGTACTGTGGGAAGTGTTTCATTTCTTCAAGTACCTGTCGAGTACATGAACGGACTCACACTGGAGAGAAACTCTACGTTTGTAACTTGTGTAATAAAGCTGTCACTACTCGCACTTCCCTTCGAAATCATGAAAGAATCCACAGTGGTGAGAAACCCTATGTCTGTGAACAGTGTGGAAAAGGTTTCATCTCTTCTGGTACCTTTCGAATACATGAGCGAATTCACACTGGAGAGAAGCCCTATAAATGTAAGGAATGTGGTAAAGCCTTCACTATACAGAGTTCTCTTCAACGCCATGAAAGGATTCACACTAGGGAAAAACCCTATGACTGTAAGGAATGCGGGAAGGCTTTCAGTGGTTACAGTTCTCTCAGACGCCATGAAAGGATTCACAGTGGAGAGAGACCTTATGCATGCAAGCAGTGTGGGAAAGCCTTCCCTGCTTTGGGTGATTGTCAAAGACATGAACAGATTCACACTGGTGAGAAACCCTACATATGTAAGCAGTGTGGGAAAGCTTTCACTCGCTGTGGTTCCCTTAGAATACATGAGAAGACCCACACCAGAGAGAATTCCTAAGCATAAAATGTGGAAAGGCCTCCTTACTGTATTCCCTTCTATAAATAGAGCATGACATGTTTAGGGAAGAAATCAAGTATTAATATGAAGTTGTGAGGGCTGCCACTAGTCATTGTTAAATCAACAAAGATAAAAGAACAAACTCAGAATGCACCCAATATCAAAACTTGTACAGAAACATCAGAAGTTGTCAATGGTAAGATATAGTTTTAAAATTCTGTGAAACTTCTACAGGTAGTATAGTACTACAAATGTGCATTATGAAAGGTTCAATTCAAAGTAATTTATGTAGAATGCGCCAAAATTACATAACCTGGAGGAAATGTGCTAAAAATTATATTACACTCATTAGTTTATTATTAAAATAGATGTGTGAACTATTTCTAAGTTTAACTCTTATAAGTAAATGGTGGCATAGCATTCTCTGAAGTTTCCTTAAACTATGGGGCAAGAGTTAATAGGTCGTATCTTTTTTTTTTTTACAATGTTCCCTACCTTTCTGAAGAATTTTGGTTGATTGAAGATGGAATAGCCTTTTGAGATGAGTTGGCAGTAGCTCGAAGTACTAGGGCAAGGTTCTCTAGAAGGATGGATTTGCTCTAAATTTGGCATCTAATATGAGGATATTTCTCTCATGGGGGTGGGGGCAGGAATCATCCCTGGACCTCACTAGCAAAATTTTTGCTTCCTGTTCTGTTGATCTTATAGTTTAACAAAGGGATATCCTTCTACCAGGAAGAGCAGCCATTCCTTTGAACTGCAAACTAAGACACCCCCACACACCCAACCCACCCCCATTTACTCTAGGTTCCTGGTGCCCTTGAGTTAACTAAAAACAGTTACTATTATCAGGAATGACGATTGACACTACCAGGGAGGAATGAAACTGCTTTTCAGCAATGGATGTGCCAATTTATTTTTTTCTACTTGACACAAGTTAGAATTATCTGGAAAGAAAAATTTGAGGAATTGCCTCCATTCGATTGGTGTGTAGGCAAGTCTTTGGGGGTTTTCTTCATTAATTATGGATGTGACAGGGCCACTGTGGGTGGCGCCACTTCTAGGTAGCCGTCCTATGTTGTATAGGAAAGCAGACTGACCAATCTAATAGTTAGCCTCCCTTTATGATCTCTACTTCAGGTCCTACTTCCAAGTTTCTGCCTTGAGATACACCCTGGCTTTCCAATGCTGGATTATAAAGTGTAATCCAAAACAAACCCTTTTCTCCTCAAGTTGATTTTGGTCAGTGTTTTAGCAACAACAGCAACAAATCAAACTAGGGCAAGAGGAAAGGAAGGCTATTCCTGGATTCCCGTAGTATTACCATGTCTGAAGATCAAAACCCATAGGAAGTTACAACTCAGTCCAAAAAGGGTAATAAATGGCTCAGATATTTCAAGGATGAAGTTCTTAGTCACTTCTCAAGGTAACAAACTGGCTAATTTGGGTGTAACATGTTTTTATTTATTTACAAGGTTTCTTGTAGTAAAATTAATTTTACAAAAAAAAAAAAAGATTCTTAGTGCTTGCTGAAGATGAGGAAATACAAAATGACACCAGAAAAAAATACATAAATATGGTATACCGTTGGGACCTCGCCAGGGTGAGGGTTCTGATTGCTGGGTGTGGGGCATTTGCCTTTAATCCAGGAAGCAAAGGCAAATGAATCTCTGAGTTCAAGACCAACCTGATCTGCACAGAACAGCCAGGGATGCATAGTGATACCCTGACTCAAAAACAAACAAACAAAAAATATGTGCTTATTTTCATAGTCTGATGGTTATTATTGATAGCCAACTTTAAAAAATCTAAAACTACCTGTGAGATAGGCCCCTGCCCATTGCCTATGAGTAGGTATCTTGATTCCACTTCATAAATGAAGTGGGAAGACTCGCCCACTTTTGGAAGTGCCATTCCCTGACTGGGACCCAGGAGTGTGTAAAAGTGGAGAAAGTTGGCTGGCTGAGCACAGGCACAAACATACATGCATTAATTCATTGCTCTCTGTCTTTTGATTTTTCAAGACAGGGTTTCTCTGTGTAGCGTTGGCTGTCGTGGAGCTCACTCTGTAGACCAAGCTGACCTTGAACTCACAGAAATCTACCTGCCTCTGCCTCCCAAGTGCTGAGATTAAAAGTGTGTGTCACCGCCACCTGGCCGCTCTCTGCTTTTTGACTGTGGGTATAATGTGAGTAGTTGCGTCTAGTTTCTGACATGTTGACTTCCTCACAGTGATGGAATTATGAGCCAAACAAACCCCCATTCCTTTATGTTGCTTTTACCTGGATATTTTGTCACTACAATAGTAAATGAAGCTAAGACATATGCACACATATAGTTGTCATGTTTTGTTTCATCTCTTCCTTTACTATGTAATATATTTATTGAGTTAATGTCAGTATTGGGTATTGCTATATATTGTCATATTTAATTATAGTATAATACATGAATAAACTTTCCTCAAGGGACTTTGACATCTAAGGAAACAGTATGCTTTCAGTTGTACATGAAAATTATGTTAGATGAAATACCTTATATTGTCTGTATTTAGAAATTGTGTATAACATAGGATATTGTTGACATCAAATTCATGAAAGATGAACTTGGAGGGGTTAGTCTCCATTGTCCACTTGGCTGGTGAAATACACCTGTATATTTTGGTGGGGAAATTTCTACAGGAGTGACATGTGGGACAGTGATTGAAGGCAAAAACTCACACTTAGTGTGGACAGTCACTTCAAACAGCATGCCAGAGGAAGTCTCAGGAAAAAGCAGCATCACACACCTGCCTTCCTTCCATCTAAGTGAATCTATTGATGCTACTGTCATCCTCTACTGATACCACATTTCATTTTCTTCTTCCACTCAACGTGGACTCAATTCGAGTGACTCTCCAGGAGTTTCCAGTCTTTTACCTTTAGATTGGAGCTCCTGAGGCATTTAGCTTCTTGGAGTGGGCAGCTACCAAGTTTCCTGCTTCTCTGGTATGCAGCCTGTCATTGTTGGATCACCGGCACCTATCACGGATGACAATCTAGTGATGTCTTCTATAATAATTTCCTTTGTTCCATTCCTCTGGAAAACCCTGACTAATAGGATCTCATTAGTTCAAAGACAGGGATATTTCTCTTTCAGTTTCCAAAATGTATTCAATTTGAAAAGTTTTAAAGACATGTACAGAATATGTTGGGTTTTGTTTCTTTAGTCTTGGTCCCTGCTACTCATTGAGAACTGTCTACCTTTTAAAGATCTGTGTGTAAATATGCATATACCACAGAACATGTGTGTAGGTCTGAAGACAGATTTAGGTGTCGTTCCCACCTTCTGCCTCGATTGAGGCAGGGCCTCTCTTGTATCTGCTGCATATGCTAGCTGGCCTGTGAGCTGCTAGGGCAGGGTCTCTCTTGTATCTGCTGCATATGCTAGCTGGCCTGTGAGCTGCTAGGGATTCTGTTCTCATCTTCTGTCTTGCCATAGGAATACTGGGATTACACTTGTGCCTTGCTGCATCTGGTGTTTGCTTGGGTCCTGGGGCATTCTAATGCACTTAGAACACTTACATGGCACATGCTCTGTCCACAGCCATCTGCCCAGGAAAGAATTGTATATTTCAAGTGTGTCACATGTCTCATTATAAAATAGGACTTTCCTATGAGTGTGTGGCTAATTCCAGTCATCTGGACTAGTTTTAGCTTTTATAACCTACTCAAGCATTTTCTACAATGCCCTGAACACTGTCTTCCAGGAAATACAGATGTTCTTCAAATTTGCTAATATTTGCTTCCATAAACTCACACTAAAATGAGTTCATAAATTAAAAATGACTGCTACACTTCGGTTACTGAACTTTGAAGTGAAGTTGAATATGTTCAAATTGAAGCAGACTAGCAAGAGAAAATTATGGGAAACAAGGCCCCCGCCCCAGGGTCTCGTTAGTCCTTTTTGCTGGTAACAGCAAGAAACTTGAGATACCATTGATAAAACCCAAATTGAAAAGCCTGGCATAGTGGTGCACACCTTTAACCCCAGCACTGGGGAGGCAGAGGCAGGTGGATCACTCTGAGTTTGAGAACAGTCAGTTCCAAGCCAGAAAAAGCTACATAGTGAGACCCAGTATCATAAATAGAAAAAAAGAAGAAGAAACAACCAAATTGCCCATGGGGAAATATATGTTCTATGACATTCTTTTCAAAGACAAATTTTTCTATTTAAGACCAAAAATGATGTATAATCTTGAGTTTCTACTGCTTACCTCTCAGTCCAAAATCTGGAAAATTACCCACATAAATTGCCTTACAATTTTGTTTAAAAAACATTTTTTTGAAGGTGTGTTTATATGGGTAGGGTAAAGGGGGGTGATTCTTTAAAGCCAGTTGTGGTGGTGCTTGGCTTTAATCCCAGAAGCAGGAAGGCAAAGGTAGGTAGATCTCTGGGAGTTTGAGGCCAACCTGGTCTACAGAGCTAGTTCAGGACAGCCAGGGCTACACAGAGAAGCCCTGTCTCAAAAAACAAAACAAACCAAAAATTATTTGAGAGCCACCAAAATGTTAAGTACAGTCCATATAAAGGCATTTAATTGCAACTGTCCATTGAGAATCCTACATCCTTGTGCTTGGGTATACTATTTTTCTTCCTGTGAGCACCTTTCTATTTTAAACTACAAATCTACTTCATATTGGCTCATCCTGAAATTCTTGTTTTGTCAAAGCCATGAATCCCAGTTTTGAAAGCCTAGGTCAGGATCTCAACTCCTCAGACTGACTCTAGTGACAGCATGCAATGAAACTGTCTAATCCTGTCTGCAATGACAAGCTCATTTCCATTACCTATAGTTGGACAAAAAAACCACCTATTTGATGATACACTGAATGGGTTAATTAATTGAACGTTTCTTGCTGCTGTATGATATGATAGCAAATTTTATTCTTGTTACCATGGGTTGTGCTGTATCTGATTTCTATGAGTCAGTGTCTTCCAAAAGTATGCTGCCTGTTGATACCCAGTTTAAGCTCACCCTTTGAAAGTCAATAACATTATTTTTTGCCTATGTGTGTGTGTGTATTTCCCACATGAGTTTATATGCACTACATATGCCTATGTGGCACCAGAGACCAGAGAGGGAGTTGAATTCCCTGTAGTTACAGGCAGTTAAGAGTCACCTGATGTCAGTGCTGGGTGGCCAGGTTCCTAAAGGTGTCCCATATCACACTGTGAAGCTGCCAGCTTAGCATATAGCCTTGACTCACCCCTCCCTGCCTCCATACCACATTTTTAGTGTACTGTCCCTGAGAAAATTCTTAGAAGATTGTGCTGCAGCAAGGCTGGTCATAGCAGGTTATCTCCAGCTGACCAGAAGCCAGATTCTTAATTCTAATATATCACATGAATGGACCTGATAAAGTCGACTTTTCTCTGAAACATTATAAGCTAGGCCACCACCATCATGTGTATTTCTTGAAACATACCTAGATCCCCAAGAATAGGCCATTAAGCTTTGGGTACTCTGATCCAAGGTTCCAGATGCCTCCACAATCCTACCAAAACAACATAACAAGCCTGTCACTGTATCTCTGGTACCAGTCTCTGTCCTAGTTTGCTTTCTGTTGCAGTGGTAAACACCGTGACAAAAAACAACTTGGGGATTTCATCCTATAGCTTACAGTCCATTTCAGGGCAGTCAGGACAGGAGCTCCAGGCAGAAACCTGGAGAGGTCTAGCCAAGGCCATGGAGGAGTGTTGCTAACCGGCTTGCTCTCCATGACTACTGGGTCTGCTGTCTCACTTCATTAATATATTAAATCGTTACAAATCCTACCATTCACCATAGTGAATGTAAAACGAGACAGATGTCATAAAGCCATGAGGCACACTTCGGCTGTAATAGTAACTGGGTTTTTATTATCACTGAAAGAATCAAAGGAAAGAGCCAGTGTTAAAAAACTTAGGAGCAAGCCGGGCAGTGGTGGTGCACGCCTTTAGTCCCCAGCACTTGGGAGGCAGAGGCAAGTGGATCTCTGTGAGTTCGGGACCAGCCTGATCTACAAGAGCTAGTTCCAGGACAGCCTCCAAAGCCACAAAGCCTGTCTTGAAAAACCAAAAACCAAACAAACAAAAAAACCAAAAAACTTAGGAGCAGCTATAGATGGTTAACATGTGATTATCCTGACAGTAAATGGGCTCTAGAATACACGCTTGGATTAGAATTTTTTTGTTGTTAAGATAGAGTTTCTCTGTGTAACCTTGGTTGTCCTGGAATTCACCTTGTATACCAGTCTGGCCTGCAAAAAGCAATCCACCTGCCTCTGCAGTTAAGGGTGTGCGCCACCACTACTAGGCCAGTTTTCTATTATTGAAAGTTCTGATACTTTATTTGGTATTCTAAAAAGTAAAATTGCCAGACAGTGCTGTTGTACTCCTTTGGGAGACAGAGGCAGGCAGATCTCTGTGAATTTGAGGCCATCCTGGACTATAGAGCAAGTGCCTGGACAGGCCCCAAAAGCTACAGAGAAACCCTGTCTCAAAAAACAAAAAAGAAAAAGAAAGAAAAAGAAAAGTAAGGGAAAGCCTAACAATTGAAAGACAAACAATCAGAAGCCAGGCATATGTTTGCCACATGAAAGCTTCAAATAGCAATTTTAACAACAACCAAACTTGAATATAAGAAAAGAATATTGTTTCATCTTCCATATATTTCTGAAAAGAAGCAGAATGCCCTGGCGATACTTCAGAGAACTGATTTACTTCTGGACAACAGGACCTTAAGACAGAAGATGGCATCAGATCCCCTGGTGGTTGAGACATCCAACATGAGTCTTAGGAAAGATACTCAAGTCCTTTGGAAAAGCAGTAAGCACTCTTAATCACTGAGCTACCTCTCCAGCCCTGACAAAGCTTTTTAAAAACATATTGAAGAAAAGATATTTAAAAAAAAAAGTGCTGAGGGGCTGGAGAGATGGCTCAGAGGTTAAGAGCACCGACTGCTCTTCAAGAGGTCCTGAGTTCAATTCCCAGCAACCACATGGTGGCTCATAACCATCTGTTATGAGATCTGTTGCCCTCTTCTGGTGTGCAGATATACATGGAAGCAGAATGTTGGATACATAATAAATAAATGTAATACTTTTAAAAAGTGCTGAGATAATTGAGTAGCTACATGTAGAAGAATAAAAACATATTTTTCGTAGGGCCCTCAACAGGGGCTCTGCAAAGTCCGCCAAATCTTCCTGTGCTGGGCCTGGACCCTCCCCCATGTGTCCAGGGCCAGAGTGTAACCCTTCATGTGGGATGGGCTCTCAAAGTCCCTTCTTGCACCAAGGAAAAATACTAATCCACCACCAGAGGCTCCCTGGAGTGCAGAGGCCTCCTTATTGACATCCATGTTCAGGGGTCTGGATCAGTTTGTACTGGCCTTCCAGACAGCATCTGGGGTCGATGTGCTCTCCCTTGTTCAGGCCAACTGTTCCTGTGGGTTTCTCTAACCTGGTACCGACCCCTTCGATCTTCATTCCTCCCTCTCTTCAACTAAATTCCCAATTTCAGCTCAGTGTATATCTGTGGATGTCTGTCTCTGCTTCCATCAGTCACTGGATGAGGGCTCTAGGATGGCATAAAGAGTATAAAAACATATTTTTCAACATGCATAAAAATTATGCAGGATCAAATGGACCAGCAACCTTAATATAAGGCAAGAAATTCTGAAACTTCAGTAGCAAAAGGTAGGCAAAACATTTCAAGATGTAGTTTTAACTAAGGATGCCCCTGCCCCGCCACCATTTATTTTTATTATTTTAAGTTATGTGTTTCTTTACTCTTCTGTGTAGGTGAGTGCACATGAGTTCGTGTCCCAGCAGAGGTCAGAGGTGAGTTACAGGTAGTTGTCAGCCACTTGCAGCAGATACTGGGAATTGAACGTGGGCCCTCTAGAAGAGCAGTGCATGCTGGTAGCCTCTGAACTGTTTCTCTAGCCCAGCCAAGGACTCTGTAAACAGGATTCCAATAACCTGAGAGGTAAGCCCTGAAAGTGGCAAATGGGGATGCATGAAATTAAAAAGTGTCTGCACAGAAAAAGAAACAGCCAGCAAAGAAGCCAGCTACAGAGTGGAAGGGAGTCTTGGTCATTTATAGTTCTGATAAGGGATTAACATCTGGCATCTATTAAGAACTCCAATAACAAAACATCATCCCCTGGACATGACATAGCCACTGTACTCATGAATTAACAGCAGATGTGGTGAGCTGTACAAGATCAAGCTAGTCAACCTTCCAACATGGATGATGGAGGGGCACAAGACGCCCCTCCTCTAGTGGTTATTGACTCACAGAGCATAGCAACCACCCTGGGAGGGCCTATGGGCCATAACAACCAGTTGGCCAATCAACACAGGGCAAGCCCTCCAAGCCTGGAGGCACATCAATCCTGAGCCTGTGCATACCCCTAGACACTCCCCTTACGCTGCCCTATAAAGATCTGTACGCAGCAGGTTCAAGCTGTCTTTGCTAGCCATCGGCCATGGTGGGTGGGTGAAAGACCCGAGCTAACATGGGGTTAGCTCATTAAGTTACAATAAAGCCTCATGCAGTTTGTAGCAAGCTCTCGAATCCACCTGGTGATTGGGGTGACGGAAGTCGTGGCCTGTGACCCTGGATACCTGAGTTTTTCGGGGGTCTAACAGGCTGACCAGGGCACTGCCTGAATGCATTCTGCCAAGTGACAGGGGCAGGTCAGCTTAATGCCTGAGTCCTTACACTTTGTTTTCTTTCTCTCCTCTCTCACTCTTGCTCCTTCCCACTCACTGTAGGAGTGTGGGGTGGGTCGCTGTAGGCGTGGAAAGTGGGCTCCATCCTTCTTTGCTTTCTTTCTTTCCTTTATGCGCCCTGGCCATGCCCCAGGCGTGCTGTCCTCTGCTTTTTCTTGGGGCTTCTCTCCAACTTACACGTTGAGTTCTGTGTTGCTGTGGCTTCTGGGGGAAAAAAACAAAAACCACTGGCTGGGTGGCTTCTGATGACTTGTTGGTATCCAGCTAGGATGAGCTTGCAGAATTAGAGGCACCTTGCTTTCAAAACAAGGAAACATACCTGCTGGTCCTGACAGGCTGGTTGGGGGCCTATCACCTGCTTGAGCAGTCCTGTTCAGGCACAGCGGGCTCCTGTCAAACAGTGAGCCCAGAAGGGTGCAGGGGAATCTGACATTCTGCACTGGTGGTGACCTGAATGCCAACAGCCATGTGACTTTGCTCCTGTTCTCGCTTAAGACCAAGTGCAATCCCATTCATTCCCTGCTCTTCCTGGGCCATGGAGACCCCTTGGGTACATCTCATTAGGTCTCAATCTGCTTCCTGCAGCTGAGGCCTGTGGGAAGCAAGGGCTGTGCTGGAACTGCCCTGGGCTGCTGTGCTTGCAGTGAGCCTGTGTGTGCTCTCTCTGTCTGTCCCTTTGTCTGCCTGCTCCGTAGCACTTAGCATAGAGCAGCTCCCCACAACAGCTCAAGGCCTGGAGTCTGGTGCTTTATCTAATGAGATGCACAACTGTTGAGACCCTCCAGGTTTGGGTGTCCAGAAACCCCCAGGCTCACTGCCTCCTCTGTGGGGCAGACCTCTGCTCCCACAGTGTTGAGCACTCACTTGGGAGCAAGGGGATCAGGCTTTGCTGTTAGCCTGAAGCGGTTAGGGGCCAGCCAGCCACTGGAGCGTCAGGGAGAGGGGCTTGCTGATTAGCTAGCAGCTTCCTGCCAGCCTACCGCTTTGCTCATAATTGTCTTTGTCTCAAGGTCTCCGAAATTTATAGAACTCTCACTCCTTCCCTCGCCTGCCATCTTCTGTGCCTCTGAGATAAGAACCATTATGTAACACCAATACCTAATGTAAGACAGATATAAAGTGTGTGGTTGTAATCAAAGCTGATGCTTTCAGACTATCTAGTCCATCTCCAATGCAGAAAAGACAGAACAGGCACATCCATCACACTGCTAGGTGCCCAGCTGACTGTAAGAATGGAATTCCAAACACTTAACACATTCAGTTCTGTGACAGAGTCTATACATAATGATAT